TCCCCCTTTTTAGGGTTTAAGTGTTCTTGCCTGATCGTGTCTAATTTACCCGAAAACTAGTGCATAATGACCTCTAGTAGTCGAAGCGCCTTAAGTAGAAAGAAGTAACGAGATGACCTTGAGAGAACATAAGAACATAAGAAAGGAGGAACACTGCAGCAGGCCTGTTGGCCCATACTAGGCAGGTCCTTTACAATTCATCCCACTAACAAACATTTGACCAACCCAATTTTCAATGCCACCCTAGAAACAAGCTCTGATGTGCAAGTCCCACTCAAATCCAACCCCTCCCACTCATGTATTTATCCAACCTAAATTTGAAACTACCCAAAGTCCTAGCCTCAATAACCCAACTAGGTAGACTGTTCCACTCAATAACCCAACTAGGTAGACTGTTCCACTGACCTACTTCACACACCCTAGGCAAAATTAGCACTACCCACTCACAGTTAACGAAGAGATGTGTACCACTCGGCCGACTACAACCAGTATTTTGAGTATTACCACTCCAACTCCCAAGGAAAAAATAATCATGAAAATGTATGCAATCAAAATTATTCTTTGGTTCCATGAATATGTAATCGCGTTACATATTAAAATCTCAATGAAAATGGAAATGAAACAATGCAGGATTCATGACTATAAATGTGACGCGATTAGGAGTTATTTTTACCAGGGTATAAAGTGGTGTTGACAACAGCCCGGGTGGAGGTATGGCGAGGAGAGGGTTCCACAAGCGAACATTTCGGAATGCCAGCACATTATAGACCTTTTCCCCGAAAACGAGCAATTGCTATTAATCATTAGATACAACAAATTATGCCGAAAAAGTACCCAACATTTCCAGGAGAACCAGATACGACTTCCAGCAAGGAAACTTATGAAGACGCATTTACAATGCAATATTCTCCCCCCCCCCCGTGATGCGTTGTGCAGCTTTAAGCTAAAATACAGGTACCTATTGTTACTCATAAGTGAGCAGAGGCCTGGTCAAAGACCGGGCTGCGGGGGAGCGCTCACCCCCGGAATACCTTCCAGGTAGGAGTGCAAAGAAACTTGCATGTAGAGGAAGGCTTACCTAACATTCCTTGGGAATATAAGAAATTATGCAAAGTTTACCAATGACGACCCATCAAGGGTATTTATCTTGAGCTTACTTCGAGTCAATAATGTGTCCATCAAGTAGACAAATGAAACAGAAAACAGCAGCAATCTATTAAATATCTAAGTTAATATAAAAAAATGACGTGTTACCCAGTCACAGTGAGCAAGGATTCACAGATCAGTAATTTAACAGATATGAAAAAATGCTTCACGGAGACGCTACCAATGTTAATACTTTCCCCCTCCCCATGACACACTCCAGGCATGGAGGGAAAGGGCAACTCAGACACGCCTTGGGGAGGCCGTCCATACAACAATTTCAGGGCCAATTGCCCCCTCATTTCAGTCCAGGTCGAGCCTCCTGGTTGCCTCCAGGCTATTGGTGCTGGCCGCACACAGTCCAACATATGTACCACACCCCAGCTGATCAGGAACTGACTAGAGGATCAAGTTTCCTCTTGAAGATAGCTAGAGGTTATGTTCGCAATTCCTCTTATAAAAGGAATCGGAAATTATCCGCCCCTTTACACTTACTGTATCATCCTAAATTTAGCGTATTTACTGCCTACTTTCCCCGCTATTAATTTCCTACTTTCGTAGGGAACGATTTCAGTGTGAAGATTTGGGGCCAGGTGAAAATTATGATGTATTATTTTTGCCTACGTTTTAGGGAGTACAATTCAAACGACTTAAGGCGTTTCTAATAATTTAGGCATTTGAATTTATACAGGTAGTGAAGATTCTCTGTATATTCTCCAGTCGTGCTATTTCGCCTGCCTTAAAAGGAGGCTATTAATATGCATCAACATTCTTGTCTACAGAGAACAAGGAACATAGTGTCATCACTGGCTAAGCATTTTTTGTTTACAAGGTTATCAGGTTGGCGATTTGCTGTGTCCTCACAAATGATGCCACTCGCGTACAAATTCTAGTATCGTCTGCAAAGAATTATACAGTGCAGAAATATGGAAGACACTGGAATGCAGAAGGTAGTATACACAGACTTGCGAAAGCCTTCGACATGTGGAAAACGATGTAATAGCAACCAAAACGCACGCAACAAGAATAAATTGGAAAGTAGGAAATGGATTTGTAATTTTTCTAACAAATCAAAGTCTATGAGCAATAGTCAAATTTAAATCAGAGACTGCCACAGTAAAAAGCTCTGTTCCTCAAATCACTTAGCCACCTGGAAAAATAACCTATCATTCGGAGACAACCTAGATACGAGAACCTAGTCATCTGGAGACAACCCAGCCACACACAACCTAGTTATCTGGAGAAAACTTAGCCAGAGAGAGAGAGAGAGAGAGAGAGAGAGAGGAGAGAGAGAGAGAGAGAGAGGAGAGAGAGAGAGAGAGAGAGAGAGAGAGAGAGAGAGAGAGAGAGAGAGAGAGAGAGAGAGAGAGAGAGAGAGAGAGAGAGAGAGAGAGAGAGAGAGAGAGAGACCAGGAAGCTTACAGCACTTCGACGTATCTCGCATATGCTCGACAGTAGAGTTTGCAAGATTCTGTACAAGGCGCAAGTACGCTCACACCTTAAGTATCCTCCATTTTCTTTGATTGCCTGCGATCCGTCTCATCTGCGACTTCTTGACAGAATAAAGAAC